AGAAACAAAATAACAACCAGAACTGACAGAAAATTGAACTGTATGGAAGTCCGACAACTAAGGAGTTAAAATAGACTTATTCATCCAGACAGGTAGGAGGAACGGAGAAGGGTCGGCAAAAAAATTGGTGGCACCAGGCACACAAGGCACCCCGGCGCACGACACAGCAGCGGGCAGGCCCTCGGCACGCAGGCGGCGGCTGGCAGACCTTGCATGCGGGGTGGCAATGGGCAGACCCAGCGAGGCAGCGACTGTGAAGTGAGGCACTGCACACAAGGTGACTGGCTGACCAGGAGGTCCCACATTCACACGCAGATAAACCAGGCGAAACTGGAGAGCAAGACAGACCACACAACCCTGGGTCCCAGAGCCCAGAAATAAAGCCTCAAAACACTGATTGAAAACACCTGTGGGGGTTGAAGCGCAGGGAGAGACGCCCAGCCTCACAGGAGAATTTGTTGGAGAGACCCATAGGGGCCTGGAACATACACAGGCCCACCCACCCCGGAATCAGCACCAGAGGGCCCAGTTTGCTGGGCAGAAGCAGCGGAGGGACCTGAAATCCAACGGAGAGCAGAACATGTGCACTATTGTTACCTCTCAGACCCCACCCCCTCATACAGAGTCACAACCCAGCAACTGGGTAGCCCCGCCCTGACGAACACCTAAGGCTCCATCCCTCATAACTAACAGGTGTGACAAGACAAAAAAAAATAGCCCAAATGGAAGAACAGATCAAAGCTTCAGAAATAATACAACTAAGCAACCAAGAGATAGCCAACCTATCAGATGCACACTTCAAAGCACTGGTGATCAGGATGCTCACAGAATTGGTTGAATTCGGTCGCAAATTAGAGGAAAAAATGAAGGCTACACTAAGTGAAATGAAGGAAAATGCACAGGGAACCAACAGTGATGGGAAGAAAACTGGGACTCAAATCATGGAGTGGACCAGAAGGAAGAAACAAACAAACAAAAAGAAAAGAATGAAACAACAAGAATTCAAAAAAATGAGGAAAGGCTTAGGAACCTCCAGGACATCTTTAAATGTTCCAACATCTGAATTATAGGGGTGCCAGAAGTGGAAGAGGAAGAGCAACAAGTGGAAAACTTATTTGAACAAATAATAAAGGAGAATTTCCCCAATCTGGCAAAGGAAATAGACTTCTAGGAAGTCCAGGAAGCTCAGAGAGCCCCAAAGAAGTTCGACCCAAGGAGGAACACACCAAGGCACATCATAATTACATTACCCAAGGTAAAAATGAAGGAGAGAATCCTAGAAGCAGCAAGAGACAAGGAGACAGTCACCTACAAAAGAGTTCCCATCAGACTGTCAGCTGATTTCTGAAAAGAGACCTTGCAGGCAAGAAGGGGCTGGAAAGAAGTATTCCAAGGCATGAAAGGCAAGGACCTACATCCAAGATTGCTCTATCCAGAAAGCTTTCATTTAGAATGGAAGGAAAGATAAAGTGCTTCTCAGATAAGGTCAAGTTAAAGGAGTTCATCATCACCAAGCCCCTAATATATGAAATGTTAAAGGGACTTATCTAAGAAAAAGAAGATCAAAAACATGTATAGTGAAATGACAGTAAACTCACAATTACTAACAACCACACCTAAAACAACAAAAACAAACTAAGCAATCAACTAGAACAGGAACAGAAACACAGAAATGGAGATCACATGGAGGGTTAGCAACAGGAGAGTGAGAGGAGGAGAGGGGGGGAAAAGGTACAGAGAATAAGTAGCATAGATGGTAGGTAGAAAATAGATAGGGGGAGGGTAAGAATAGTATGGGAAATGTAGAAGCTAAAGAACTTTAGTTCATGGACATGAACTAAAGGGGGAGAATGTGGGTGGGAGAGGTTGTGCTGGGTGGAGGGTAATGAAGGGGGGGAATGGGACAACTGTAATGGCATAATCAATAAAATGTATTTTAAAAAATAAAGAGTATAAAGAATCTGACCTTGTTAGCGGGTGGGAGAGTTCCTGTTTGAGATAAGATGAGTTAAAGTTGGTTAGGCAGGATGGGGCCAGTGCATGGAAAGCTCAGGACACTAGCTCAGGGAGGTTGGCCAGTTTGGGGATAGTTGGTAGACAATGAAGGAACAAACAATGATTTTTTAGGGAAATCATTCGGGTCAGTTGTGTAGGATGAATTGAAGGCAGGAGAAATTATAACCCCAGAGACCGGAAAGCAGGTCATCGAAGATGATCTAGGTGTGAGATCATGGAAGTGGCACTGGATATGAAGCTGAAAGAATGGGTGGGAGAACTGTTTATGAAGGAAGAATCAGTAGGATGTGGTGACTGGCTTTTTTAAAGGGAGGGGGCTACACAGGTCTGTGTGTAAAAGGAAACATTAATAACTCTCAATTTTCTTTTTGCAGTAGTAAAAAAAGACTAATAACATGATGAAAAATTGGCTAAAGATTAAACAGACTTCTCCAAAGAAGACATACGAGTAGCCAACAGGTATATGAAGAAATATTCATCATCAGTAATCATCAGGGAAATACAAATCAAATCCACAATGGGATGTCACTTCACACCTATCAGGATGGCTATTATGGAAAAACCAAAAGACGACTGCTGGTGAGGATGTGGAGAAATTGGAACCCTTGCACACTGTTGATGGGAATGCAAAATAGTGTCACCATTATGGAAAATGGTATGGAGGTTCCTCAAAAAATTAAAAATAGAACTACCTTGTGATCCAGCAATCCCACTTCTGGGTATTTGTCCAAGATAATTACAATCAGATCTTGAAGACACATAACTCCCAAGTTAGCACTATTTACAATGGCCGATATATGAAAACAACCTAAATGTCCATCAACAGATGGACAGATAAAGAAAACTGGTATGTGCATTCATGGACTATTACTCAGCTTTTAAAAAGAAAAAAATTATGCAACAAGCAACAACATGGATGAAACTTACAGACATTATGCTACGCGAAACAACCAAGTCACAGAAAGACAACTACTGCATGATTCCACTTAGATAAGGTATCTAAAATAGTCAAATTTATAGAATCAAAAAATGGAATAGTGGTTGTTAAGAGCTGGGGAAGGGAGTCTTGGCTGGTGTGGCTCAGTGGATTCAGCACCAGCCTGTGAACCAAAGGGTCACTGGTACATTTCCAGTCAGGGCACATGCCTGGGTTGCAGGCTAGGTCCCCAGTAGGGGGCACGTGAGAGGCAACCACACACTGATGTTTCTCTCCCTCTCTTTCTCCCACCCTTCCACTCTCTCTAAAAATTACTAAATAAAATCTTTTTTAAAAAGTTGTTAAAAGTGTAGATCCAATGTAGATCCAATGTTGAGTATTCCTCCTACAACAAAATAAATCTTTTTAAAAAATGCATGAGGTCTAAAACCTGAGTGGAGGGAAGACATAATGCGGACAGTGACAGAAATGGGAAAGGGGAGGAAAGCAGCTGCTTTCGTGGTGACGTCGTGAGAGGGAGGCTGTGGCAGGACTTCCACGCAGATATACCTTTACGGCAGTTGAACACAATTGATTGGCAATAAATATATAAATAAAGTCAAGACTCAGAGAGACATTTGGGGCCAATGGCAATTTACTAAATAAAGAGTTTAAAGGGACGATCAGCTCAGGGACCTAAGGAAATATTCATTTATATTCAGAGGATGGGTTGGGAAGAAGCCATGAAGGTAGAAAGGTAATTATCAGAAAAAGAGAAGGCAATAGAGGAAGAACAGTGTCACAGAAGCCATGTGAGAAACAAATTTCAAGGAGTGGTCAACTACTTCAAAGCCAACGGGAAGTAAGAAAAGACCACTGGAAAGATGTCTGAGACATCCTGGAATATGAGTAGCCCAGCCTGACCTCTCCTACCTGGGTAACAAACATTTTGGGCTAAATAAGCTGTGAACCACGCTGATGTTTCTCCCTCACAGAACGTTTGAGTGGTAGCCTCACTGTCAGGAAATCTGGGCAGGGCTCTTTTCCCATGGCCCTGCTGCTTTCGCTTCCATTCCCAAGAAACGCATATGCAACAGGGCTTATTCTGCTCACCATGAAGCTCATTATCCCCTTACCTCTTACCTAAAGGACAGGAGGGTCAAAAAAGTTACTGGTAGAAAAATCAAAATTATTTGCAAAACTATAGTGTAATTATTATTCATGAGCAACAGAAGCAACAAATGGAGGAGGACTTTCCCCATCTTCCAAATTAGTTTCTAGCTCAAATGATCTATGAGCAGTGTAGCTGTACCAGGGATCGTGGAAGTGAGAATGAGGAACTCTTGTTTTCCGTCTATCTTTACTGCTGTGGCTAGCATAATTATTATTAACATTTACTAATGCTAATAACTAACATTCGCAGCATGGGTTTTTGTAAGGGTCAACCTCTTGATCAAGTGTCCCTGAACTTGATTGATAAGATATTGGGGTCATGGAGGAAATGTAAGAGTTGGCTCCTGTCATGTTCCTCGGATGTTCCTCGCATGTACAAGATCCTCGGATTGTGTAACTAATTGAAAGAATAGAAAACGGACTTCACTTGGAGCATGAGTGACGAGGCTTGATCTTATATTAGTGGAATAATTTAGGGAATCTATGGAATAATTTTTAATCTTAGCTCCATAAAACCTTTAAATATAATGAGAAACCTATCCGGAGACAGACAGGCAGCTGACATCATGTGGAACGAATCTCCTTTAAGAATCTTTTCTATTCCAGAATTATTTTAAAATAAAATTCCGAAAGCCTGAAAGAGGTCGAAAGCCTTGAAACTTCGTGTAAGTTTTTAAAAGCAAAACAACAAAAACCCTGCATAAACTACACTTTCCAGGAGGCCCTCCCGGGCACTCTTCGCACTCGACTGGTTCTCTTCACCGCGAGGTAAACTGGGAAATGTAGTTCTCTAAGCAACGCTGCACGTGACGCGTGCGGAGTGGTCGAGAGAGACTGCGCCTTCTGGGTCCGGGAGTGAAGGCGTGAGCAGCTGCTTCCTCTGAGATTGGTTTGTTCTGTGGAGGGAGGGCCCCCATCTTCTGCCAAACCCGGGAAATAAGCGGACCACGCTTAGTCGCTCGCTGGGGCCGCTCCGGGGAAGTCCCGGCGGGTGATACAGCGCCAAGCCTCGTTCCGTTTCTCGGCAAGCCCAACCGGGACGGGGAGAAGGTGCAAACAGCTGGGGGCTCAGAGCTCGCGCTCTGCGCCCGGTGCCCCACCCAGGCTGCGGCCGCGCCGGGAGGAAGCGCGTAAAGGTTGAGTGCCAAGTTTCCCTTTTTGCTTTCTTGTCAGAGCAGTCCCCAACAGGCGGTGGGCGGAATGCCGAACTTCAGTTTGAAGGGGGTCAGGAGCTAAAGGGGTTAAAACAGCGACTCCCCCACTTCCCGCCTCCCTCAGAAGTCCACCCAGCTAGCCATGGGCAGCCGCGACCACCTGTTCAAAGTGCTGGTGGTGGGGGACGCCGCGGTGGGCAAGACTTCCCTGGTGCAAAGATACTCTCAGGACAGCTTCAGCAAACACTACAAGTCCACGGTGGGAGGTGAGACGTCGCGGCGGGGAGGGGTGGACAGGAGGCCCGGACCTCGGACTCAAGATGTGAACTCTAGTGGGGTGGGAGCTGGGGATCTGTTGTCGTTGGGTCTGTCCTCCGTGCCTGGGATCCTAGAGAGGCCAACTGCGGGTATGTGATTTGCATGCCTCTTTTGGGTTTCCTCAGTTAGGATTTCCTAGCCTGAGCCGATTGCCCAAGAAGAGACCGGGCGGAGATGTGAAGATGAGGTGTAGGGAAGGGAGGAGGGGAAAATGAGCAGTCGCTGCGCTCCACGAGGGGAGCCCAGGTCTCTTCCTGCATGCAGCATCCCTAGGCGGTTCTGGGCGAATCTCAAACCAGCAGAGGCAGCTGAGACCCCCTGGAGGGCCTGGTGAGGTGCCAGCCGGGGCTGCTGTCCTGCGCCTCACGAAGTTCCAGGCAGTTGCAGGAAGGCATTTAACCTGGCCTAGCTTCCTTTGGGGGATGTCTGCGTGGGAAAGCCTGTAGGCCACACAAACAGATGCTTATCAGGGCTGATGAGAGGGGTGTTTATTGCCCATTGATTGCTTAAATAAAGGCAACCTAGGAATTCTTCAAGAAGGTGAGATACACTACGTCTTTGACCTATCTTCCCACCCCTTTTTCTTTCGAACTGGTTTAGAGAGGAAGGAAGGGAGGGAGGGAGGAAGGGAGGGAGGGAACACCTTAAGAGTTCATTTATTTCTTGACAGGTGTGGTCTTCGGACTCTTTTTTTTTTTCAGATGTTGGAAATGCCATTTTGTTAAATAGAAAGTGCTTAGCTGGGCAGAGTTGGTGAAGAGGGAGAGTAACAGACATTTATCTCCATTAAAATAAATTTTTAAGGGGAAAAAACCTGCACCAATGTAAATTTTGAAAATGTGTGCTGGTATCACAAAATTTTAACAAGTTAACAAGCATTTACATTGCAATTAAAACATTCTTCTTAAGAACATCTATCAAGCCCTGGCTGGTATAGCTGTGACTTGAGCATGGCTTGTGAACCAAAGGGTTGCTGGCTCGATTCCCAGTTGGGGTGCCTGCCTGGGTTGCTGGCCGGGTCCCCTGTGGGTCCCCTGTACCCACGAAAGGTCCCGAAAGGCAACCACACACTGATGTTCTCTTCCCTCTCTTTCCCTTCCCCTCTCTCTAAAAATAAGTAAAATCTTTTAAAAAAGAAAAGAAACATCCAGCAAAATTAAAAGTTTAAAGTTTTGAACCACGCTGCCCCCCAACTCCGAAATAATATGAGGGTCTCTATTTCATTACTTCGGTTTAAAAATGTCCCACTATAATTTTTAGCAATTGCTCTAGTTTAGTGAAGAATATACGTGATTCTGGCTAATTTTTTTTTCAGTATCTATTCTATATTCTCCCTAGCTTTTATTTCTGTCACAGATGTGGAAGAATATATTTCCAAACCTCAGAAATGATCCTATTTCTCTCCTTATCAAAAAGCTCTCTTCCACTGGCATACTCCTTGAGCCTTAACTCACAGGGCCTCAGCATCTGCGTGTGTTGTAGTATATTCCAGCACAACTTTTTTACTTTATTTTTCTTTACCAGAGGACATTTTTTTCATTGCTTTTAGAGAGAGAGGAAGGCAAGGAGAGAGAGAGAGAAGAAAAAAAAACATTGATGTGGAAGAAAAACATTGATCGATTGCTTTCTCACACCATCCCCAACCGGGAACTGAACCACGACCTTTGGGTCTGTGGTATGCTGAACAACACTCCAACCAACTGAGCCAGCACAACTCTTAAGCATCATCCATACCTTGTCTTCTTTCTGAGAGTCCTCTGGGACCTTTTCACTTTATCCCATTCCTGCCCAAGATAATTTCTATGTCTTATGGAGGATGTAGAATTCCCCCTAGAGTGTATTTTTATCATAATACAATTGTATTACAAACCAAGAGTGAAACTGAATGTGGAATCGTCAAAAGCCACCACGCTTACCTCATTTTCCTCTTCTAGAAACCCATCATCCCTTCCCTGAGAAAATCCCCGAAATCCCCCAGATTATAAGGGTGTCCAACCTTTTGGCATCTCCAGGCCACACTGGAAAAAGAAGTGTTGTCTTGGGCCATGCATTAAATACACAAACACTAACAAAAACTGATGAGCAAGAAAAAGATTTTAAGTAAATTTATGATTTTGTGTTGGGCCGCATTCATAACCATCCTGGGCTGCATGCAGCCCTCTGGCCAAGGATTGGACACTCCTGGCTGTGATTAGGAATTGTTTTCGTAATTACCTCCACCCTCCTATCTCCGACCTTGGAGAGAAGTAATATCAAATAAGTCAGTTTGACAAGAGAGCAAGAGCAAAAAACTCCCTTCTGAGAGTGAGTATAAATGAGCTGTCCTATGTTTGATACATGAATGTGGGCTCGGCTCACTGAAGGCTTAAAACTAAAATGAATAAATAAATAGGAGTTGCGTATCCCTAGTGTTGTAACTGCATATTTGATCTAAGGTTTTTCTGTGGGTTGTTTAAAGGTAAATTTTATTCAATATATTTATACATATTTTTTCAGTGGATTTCGCTCTGAAGGTTCTCCAGTGGTCTGACTCAGAGATGGTGAGGCTCCAGCTGTGGGATATTGCAGGTACGCTGGGAAGACTGAATAGGAACAAGGGGCGAAATTTCGGTTTAACCAGCCAGCTCCCAGAGAAAAAAATGGAGCGGTAAAACCAGAAGCTTTTTTCTTGAAGCTGGAGAGGTCATTGGAGCTGCTCTGAGGATGCATGAGCTGAATAGACATAGAACTTTTGTAGGTATTTTCTGCAGATGTCTTGCCCTGAATAAACAAATAAATGTGAAGCAGTATCTGTGGAGGTGGAGGGACGGGCAAGGTGGCGGACGGTCCAGGCTGTGGGTGGATGCTCCGACAGCAGCAGAAGTGTGCTTTTTCCAGGTTTTCAGCGAACCTCGGTGAGAAACCAGTTACCCAGAAAATAGAGACAATAATAATAGCTAACCCTTATTATGTGTCAAGCACTTTTCTAAACATTTTAGGTTCACTGGCTCATTATTCCTTGCAACGACCCTATGATAAAGCTACTTCTTCTGTCCCCACTTTACAGATGGGAAATAATTAGCCATTGAAAGCTCAACTTGTCCAAAGTCACATAAATAGTAAATGACAGAGCAGGGAGTTAGACTTGGAGAATCTGGGTACAGCATCTGGACTCACGCACCATGCACACTGCCTTCTCTCCCACAGTGAAGGCAGAAAGGGCAGGCAGGGTGTTAGAAGGAGCTTTGGGACTGGTTCCCAGGATCACCTGCTAGAGAATTTCCGTCTCCTCGCAGGACAGGAGCGCTTCACATCCATGACACGACTATACTACCGGGATGCCTCTGCCTGTGTTATTATGTTTGATGTTACCAATGCCACTACCTTCAGCAACAGCCAGAAATGGAAACAGGACCTGGACAGCAAGCTCACACTGCCCAATGGGAAGCCTGTGCCCTGTCTGCTCTTGGCCAACAAGGTACGTGGTCAATCTAGGGAAATGGCCACTGGCCGCAGTCTTTGGTGGGACAACAGGCTGTCTAAAATGCTCTTCAGGTCTGGACATCCACTTTCCCTTCACGAGCTGGCAAAATCATCTCTACCTCCTTTCAAGGGATGTTGAGACTTTCTTTAGGAAGAATGTTGAATGTAGATTTTAGATGCTGCTCTTCTTAGCCATTGGTGGAAAGGTTTTTTTTTTATTTTGTTTTGTTTTTTAACATGTTTTATTGATTACGCTATTACAGTTCTCTCATTTCTCCCCCTTCATTCCCCTCCACCCTCTCCCACCCATATTCCCCCCTTTAGTTCATGTCCATGTGTCATAAGTTCTTTAGCTTCTACATTTTCCATACTATTCTTGCCCTCCCCATCTATTTTCTACCTACCATCTATGCTACTTATTCTCTGTACCTTCTCCCCGCCCCATTCCCCTGTTGCTAACCCTCCATGTGATCTCCATTTCTGTGTTTCTGTTCCTGTTCTAGTTGTTTGCTTAGTTTGTTTTTGTTTTTGTGTTAGATGTGGTTGTTAATAATTGTGTTTGCTGTCATTTTACTAGACATGTTTTTTATCTTCTTTTTCTTAGATAAGTCCCTTTAACATTTCATATATTAGGGGCTTGGTGATGATGAACTCCTTTAACTTGACCTTATCTGAGAAGCACTTTATCTTTCCTTCCATTCTAAATGAAAGCTTTCTGGATAGAGCAATCTTGGATGTAGGTCCTTGCCTTTCATGACTTGGAATACTTCTTTCCAGCCCCTTCTTGCCTGCAAGGTCTCTTTTGAGAAATCAGCTGACAGCCTTATGGGAACTTCTTTGTAGGTGACTGTCTCCTTGTCTCTTGCTGTTTCTAGGATTCTCTCCTTCATTTTTACCTTGGCTAATGTAATTAGCCTTCCTTGGGGACTCTCTGAGCTTCCTGGACTTCCTAGAAGTCTATTTCCTTTGCCAGATTGGGGAAATTCTCCTTTATTATTTGTTCAAATAAGTTTTCCACTTGTTGCTCTTCCTCTTCCCCTTCTGGCACCCCTATAATTCAGATGTTGGAACATTTAAAGATGTCTTGGAGGTTCCTAAGCCTCTCCTCATTTTTTTGAATTCTTGTTGTTTCATTCTTTTCTTTTTGTTTGTTTGTTTCTTCCTTCTGGTCCACTCCATGATTTGAGTCCCAGTTTTCTTCCCATCACTGTTGGTTCCCTGTGCATTTTCCTTCATTTCACTTAGTGTAGCCTTCATTTTTCATCTAATTTGTGACCGAATTCAACCAATTCTGTGAGCATCCTGATCACCAGTGCTTTGAAGTGTGCATCTGATAGGTTGGCTATATCTCTTGGTCACCTAATTGTATTTTTTCTGGATCTTTGATTTGTTCTTCCATTTGGGCTATTTTTTTTTTGTCTTGTCACACCTGTTAGTTATGAGAGGTGGAGCCTTAGGTGTTCACCAGGGTCAGTTAACCTGGTTTCTGGGTTGTGACGTTGTATGGGAGGCGGGGTCTGAGAGGAAACAATGGCGCTTGCTTCTCTCTCTCTGTGGGATTTCAGTCCCTTCTGCAGCTTCCCCCAAGCTAACTGGGCCTTTCTGGTGCTGGTTCCCATGTGAGTGGGCTTGTGTATGTTCCAGGACCCCTGTGGGTCTCTGCAATGAACTCTCCCATGAGGCTGGGCGTCTCTCCCTGTGCCTCAACCCCCACAGGTACTTCCAAACAGTGCCCCGAGGCTCTATTTCTCAGCGCTGGGACCCTGGGACCACCCGGTCAGCTAGCCGCCTGGCATGCAGTACCTCCCTTCACAATCACTGCCTCGCTGGGTCTGCCCGTTGCCCCCCTGGGCCCGGGGTCTGCCAGCTACCGCCTGCGCGCCCAGGGTCTGCCCACTGTGGTCTTAGGTGCCCGGTCCCACTGCTCTTTGTGCTGCGACCCCTCTCCACCCAGCTGCCTGACTCCACACCTCCCACCAGTCTGGATGAACATGTCTATTTTAACTCTTTGGTTGTCTGACTTCCATACAGTTCCGTTTTCTGTCAGTTCTGGTTGTTATTCTGTTTCTAAATTGTCCCTATCTTGGTTGTACAAGGAGGCACAGTGTGTCTTCTTATGCTTCCATCTTGGCCGGAAGTCTGGTGGAAAGGTTTTAAATCCACAGGTGTCTGAGCTATGTTCCTATTCCCAGGAAGTTTATGGTGTTGCTTTTTATTTACTGTCCTTGCCAGTGTGATCTGTCCCCTTGGGCAGTGAGCCGAGACCAGGTTGACCGGTTCAGTAAGGAGAACGGTTTCATAGGATGGACAGAAACATCAGTCAAGGAGAACAAAAATATTAATGAGGCCATGAGGTGAGTAGCTCATGGGCACACAGATGTGCCCATCTTCCCCTGCAGCCCACTGGACCTTCTCTTCTTGTTTGTGAGCAAATAAGAGCAGACTGGAATACCAGCTTCTGAAGGTCAGGGACGCTGCCCTCTCTTCTGCAGTAACTGGGGACAAACCTTGTGGCTTTCCTGAAATGGCATTTGGTGTTAAGACAGACAATGTGTGCTGTTTCTCCCTTTCCTCAATCCAGCTTTTCAGAGTTACTTATATTTGTTTTTCAGAGTCCTCATCGAAAAGATGATGAGCAATTTCAGAGAAGAGTTGTCTTTGTCCACCCAAGGGGACTACATCAACCTACAAACCAAACCCTCCTCCAGCTGGGGCTGCTGCTAGGAGTGTTCTGCATGCTTTCCCTCCCAGTTCTAGTCCCTTCCCTTTGGATGCCCACTCAGCAATTTAATTAAGTACATTTGAACTGTCTCCTGCTGACTGTCCAGGAAGGAGGGCCATCATCACCAAGAAATGACACCTGGGACCCAGGTGCATTTCTACATCTCCCGAAACTTGGTTCTCACTTGCTGCTGGCTCATGTGGGCCAGGTAGTGCCTCTTGTATAAGATCACCTCGTCACTCAATTTGCGATCTGGGACTTTGTGAGAAGGATCAGAAATCAGTATTTGTGTCTTAAGGATCATAATTCTCTACTGCCTTTGAGCTTATATTTCCATCTGATGTATGTTGAGCTATCAATCTGATATGACTTCAGATTGAGAGGAAAATAAAATCAAAGGTCATTTCCCAAATTTCTCGCAGGTCAGGCTTTCAGATTCTTTCTGTCTTGGAGTTTGAATTTACTGTAACAATCTGATTCTGAGATGCAGAAGGAGTGGTGCTGGATATCTTTGAGTTTCAGGCTACTGGAGGTGACTCAAAAGTCACTGTATTTTTGAAGCTTCTAAACTCATAATTACCGTATTTTTTCAGAGCATAAAACACACCTGGGTTTTAGAGGAGGAAAATAGGAAAAAAAATTTTTTAAGCAAAAAATGTGGTAAAATACTTAATAACATAATATTTCACCAATGTAAATGTAAACAGAACTCAACAGCAGCATTAACAACCATTATTCCTCCCAAATTTTGGGGGCAGGAGTGTGTCTTATAGTCTGAAAAATACGGTAGCTTTCTCTTGTCTTGGCTTTAAGAATAGTCACACTTACCCTGGCCAGATGGTTCAGTTGGTTGGAGAATTGTCCTATGTGTGCGCGCGCACACACACATACACAAATGATGTAGGTTCAATCCCCTGGTTGGGGCACGTATGGGAGCCAGCCTCTCTCTCTCTCTCTCTCTCTCTCTCTCTCTCTCTCTCTCTCTCTCTCTCTCTCTCTCTCTTTCAAAATCAATAAACATATCCTCAGGTGAGGGTTAAAAAAAGAGTAATCAAACTTTTAAACTATCTATTTTGTATGATGAGAGCTGCTCTTTCCAAAAAGAAATTACTTCTCACATCAGGGTCTAATTGTCTCCCCGCCAGAGGGTAGGGGCAGGGTTGGCAGGTTTCTGGGCTGATGTCTTGATGCATAATGCTGCCAGTGGCACCTGGCTGCCTGTTTCTTGCAGCTCTGAGGTTGTGAATGGAAGAGGGAGAGGTTACTACAACAAAACCCTGTGGGGCAACTTGCTTAGGAGCAATCTGGGTGACTAGCACTTAACAGCCACAGGAAATGAATATTATGTACAGACTTATGTCTGGGAGTGGAAGTAGATAGAAAATCATTAGCTTATTTAACTGCTAAGTCAGGTAGGGTTTGAAGATTGCTGGGTCCCAACCTCAAACCTACTGAATGAACATTTCTGGGGGTGAAGCCTGGGAATTTGCTATTTTTCAAAGCTTCCCAGGTGACTTCGATCAGTCTGGTTTGAAAACAAAGCCCTGCTGGAGAGCTTGGTACCACGTGGCAGAGACCCAGGCCTCTCCTGTTTGTTCTCCAGGTGATTCTGGTGCACACCGGACTTTAAAAACCACTGTCCTGAGGGAGAGATTAGAAGCCAAATATCAGAAAAAGAATGAGAGCCAAGCTTTCAGTAGTTGTTCAGTTTTTTTGTTTTTGTTTTTAATGCCAGTTATTATAACTTTTGCACAACTTTTGAGACCTTGAAGTTCTCTTTTGTATTACCCTTTTCAGGTAGAGTTTTTATTATAATGATTCTGAAGATAATAGTGGATTAACAGATTCACTTTATATGAGAAGAAAATTGATTTTTATGCACTGGTTCAAACCCCTGAAATATTATAAATAAATGAAAAATAAATCTTGTATTCGTGGTAGTTATTGGCCACTTATGTGAGTTTGTTGAAGTGTTATCCTATGCTGGTTGTTCAAGAGCATTGTGGAAGTGGAGACTGTACTTTAAAAAAAAAATAGCCTCTTTAAAAGTGAAGGTGAATGTTTTTCTGCTTATCTTTAATTTACTAGTAAGTACCAGCTACCTAGTACCAATTCAGTACTTGATGTAACATCCCAAATACTATTTGGAAATGTGACCATTTAAAAAAATTGAATATGCTACATGGACAATAACAAGGTGGGGGTGGGTAGAAACAGGGGAGGGAAGTGGGGGGGGTGGGGGGAAAAGGCAGAAAACTGTACTTGAACAAAAAAATGTAAAAAAATTGAATATGCTTTCTTTTCCCATTTGGTGACTCAAGATATATGACCTTTTCAAGCATTGCTAGTAGCTGGCCTGCCAGCCCTTTTGGATTTTATCTTTCAATTGGTGAAAATGATAGGCCTGAAACTAAAGAAGAAGTTGCAATATAACTAATTCCTCTCTATGTCCATACCCATAGAGAAAAGGGAAAACAATAAGGAAGAAGAAACTATTTGCATGATTCAAAATGTGATTATACTAAAACAATTAGATCCTATCATTTGGATGCCACCTCTTAGGTAAAATTATTTGGAACATGGAGAGACCATTGTGACCCTTCCCTAGAGAAGTCTCTGTATTTGAGGCAAGATGCCCGCCCAACCACTCAGCTGGTCTGTGGCCCAAAGAAAACCAGCATTCTCTGCAGAATGTTCTTTGAGACTGAAGGAAGGGCCGAAACAGAGCTGTGGGATGGAGACCACCACGGCTTTCTCCTCTGGACAGAAAAGCCAAGTGACCAAACAAGCAGGGGAAAGAGTCAGAGGTCAAGGAAGGCCCTTCAGCAGTAACTGATGGTTTGCTCTTTTGTTATTGCTAATGAGCCAAAATTACTCCAAGATGGTTTTCCTAATTCACTTTCCCTAGCTATTGCTACAGTGTGTTGGGGTTCCTCACTTTTACCTATTATCTCCAGTTTCAATTCTTCATGTGGTCTGTCTTCTGTTCTTCTGTCTTCAGGATACTGTGTCCCATCTTACATGAGGCCTTTCTGCCCTTCATTGTCCTGTAGGCAGTGGCCTGCTTTTGGACTGATCTGAGGACATAGTTAGAAGATGTAAGATTCTCCACGGGCCCTGGCTAGTGTAGCTCAGTGAATTGAGTGTGGGCCTGCAAACCAGAGGGTCACCAGTTTGATTCCCAGTCAGAGCACATGCCTGGGTTGCAGGCCACGTCCCCAGTAGGGGGTGTGTGAGAGGCAACCACACACTGATGTTTCTCTCCCTCTCTTTTTCCCTTCCCCTCTCTCTAAAAATAAATAAAATCTTAAAAAAAAATCTCCACGGTATTCCATAAAATTTAATGATCAGGTTGCCCAAGGAGAAAAACCTATTTATTTCACCTCTACCCCTCTTGGTTCACTATGTTTACTCAGCTGTATAAGTGATTCATTTATTAAAGCCAAAAAATCCCCAAAGCTTCAAGTTGGATTAGATAAGAAACCACTAGAAAATGATGTGTGTTCTAAAGAACTATACATGTATTTTTAATTCAGCCATAAATACAGAGACTTGAAAGTATATATATGACCTCCATTGTTATTAGAAAAACCCTACCTTCTCTTTGACTTTCAAGCATAATCTGAATTCACTCGTTTTATCTGCAGTGTTTCAATATAATAATGGCATTGTTCTGTATCAAGGTTTTCCAGGGAAACAGAACTCTAGGAATATATATATTCCTAGAATATATATATATATCTCCATATATATATATATGGATTTACTATAAGGAACCGGCTTACTCAATTATGGAAGCTGAAAGTCCCAAATCTGCAGACCCGATGTCACAGTGAAAGTCCCAAGGCTAGCAGGCTGGAAGAGGCTGATACTTCAATTTGAAGTATCAGGCAAGAGAATTCTTACTCAGCAGACAGTCAACCTTTTATTCTGCTTAAGTCTTCAACTGATTGGATGAGGTCCACCCACATTTCCTAACGCAATCTTCTTTAATCACTCTATTGATTTAAATGTTAATCTCATTCATAAACACCCTCACAGAAACACTCAGAATTACCTTTGACCAAATATCTGGGCAGCTGATGGCCCAGTCAAATTGACACATAAAATTAACCACCACATGCACTTAATAGTACTTTACTGTATAATGGTGTATTTTCCTGCCTTTGCACTCTAATGGGATTCATACTCATCGAAGTCCATCTGATTGGAACCTAACTGTGGGAATCAAGAGGAGAAAGTAGATAGGAAGAGGAAGGAGAAAAGGTAGGCTTTTTATGACTTACCATGGTATGAGCAGGGGAGCAGTGGGTATCAATGGCTGGTTTTGTATGAAACTTGTTCATCAGATATGTGAGCTGTGTGTGCTTTTCACACTGTCTTGGAAATGAGAAAGCAAATTGTTTTCCCCATTTATGTTTGAGGGAACAAATATCTCTAAATTTGACTTTCCGAAAGGCAGCTGGTTGAATCTGTAACGAAGCCAAGACCAAGCTGCAAGTCATCTAATTCCCACTCTCCATTCTGTCCGTGAGGTTTCTGGGGAATGTTTAACCAGAGAAAGCTATTTTGGAAAATAAGCCCAGACAGAGAAACAGAACTGATCGCTTTTGGGTTTGAAACTCTTGTTTTGCATTAGATTTTGGTTAGAGGCCATGTCCAAATGTGGAATGGAGACATACATATAGTTAAATTTGGAGCCAAATGAAGTGCAGTTTGGATAATATACAGTACAGATACATTGTAAGATGCTTTATTGACAAGTTCTTCTTACTAAGATGTCACCCAAATGCAGTGACTCATTTGATTTTGCATATCAGCTCTGTTGTTTGCAAGTACAGAGATTTCAGCAGCCATTCCATTCCCAACTGTTGCTACCAGTAGCTAACATCTGAGTGTTGTCATAAACCAAGTAAGTATTCTGAACACTTCACATGTGATATATATATAAATGAGGAAACCAAGGAACAAAAACCCAAGATTCTGCTCAAGGTTACACAGCTAGCAAGTGGCAAAACTGATTTTTAAGCTTAAGGAGTGTGACTCTAGGAACTGGGTCTTGACTACCACACACTTCCTCCCATTTTGCATGTGTGTATTTTAGTGGTGGCATCCTTGAAATTTTTTTCTAAATATTTTATTTATTTTTTAGAGAGGGGGTGAAGGGAGGGAGAAAGAAAGGGAAAGGAACATCAATGTGTGGTTACCTATCATGTGGCCCCCACTGGGGACCTGGACCACAACCCAAGCATGGGCCCTGACTGGGAATCAAACCGGCGACCCTTTGGTTCGCAGCCAGTGCTCAATCCACTGAGCTACACCAGCTGGGGGTGAAGTTTTTTCATACAACAATTTTTCAGTATGGTGGAAGCAAAGGGTAATTTATTAAGTGGGCATATAGGTTTTTCTAATACCTTTATAATGAAAAATTTTAAAGCTACTCATGAAATGAAGGAAAGAAAAAAAATCCAAACCACTATTTATTTATTTACATTTTGATAAACTTGTTTTCGATCAGTTTTTTAAAACAAAGATTTTTTTCACGTAATTGTATTTACACTTAAATCATTTTAGATTACATAACTTTTATGTATCTAGTATTATAGTAGGAGTTGTGGGGGATATAAAGATCTATGCCACAGAAGTTCAAAGGAGAAGGAGGTTAAGAAAGATTTCTGGAAAGGAAGTAGGATTTAGATGTAAATCAAGGAAGAGGGGGGATAGGATTTTAGGTTGAGAAGAAAGGGAGTTTAGAATTCTGACACAGGGTTGAGAAATAGCCAGTTTCCAAAGCACTCAGGCTGCAGAGCAGTGGGAAATAAGATCAGAAAGATTGTTTACAGATTGTCTGGGTCATTCATGGTTTTAACTGGTAGTGGCATACCTGCCATGTGCCAGGTTCTTTATTAGATGCATGGGATGAAGACCTGGAGAAGAGAAGCTTCCTGTCCATGAGGGGCAGTCCAGAAGCGAGTCAGACTCATCAGAGCACTGCATCTCGCTTCGAGGAGTGCCGAGTCTACTTGCAGTGACGGAGAACCGAAGGGAGGTCAAGAAAAGCCTCATGGGCACTTCAGCTTCTAAGTGTCCCTAACTGAAGGACTACAAAAGGGAATAAATGCGTCTTAAACAGAGGAAAGGAAACAAAGGCGTGGGGACATGCAACAAAGAGCAGAGCTTGCTCAGAGAACAGTGGACATTCATAATAGCTGGAGCTGGCAGGGAGGTGGAGAAGGGGACTGTGAGAAAATGAGGTTAGAAATAGGACCAAATCGAGGAGAGCCCCACAGGCCATGGCGAAGCATTTGAACATCACCTTGTAGTGGAGAACTATTAAAGGGTTTAATTTTTTTAAAGTTTTTTTCTTATTGAAAAATACATAAACATTACCTTTTAAAAATAAATAGAAATATATCATTTTATACTTCTGGAGGTCAGAGGTCCAAACTTGGTCTCAGTGGACTAACATCAAGGTGTTGGCAGGGCCCTGACAGGTGTGGCTCAGTGAATTGGGCATCATTCTAAAAACTGAAAGGTCACTGGTTCAATTCCCATTCAGGGCATATGCCTGGGTTGTGGGCCAGGTCTCCCATAGGGAGCATGTGAGGGGCAACTAATCAATATTTCACACATTGATGTTTCTCTTCCTTTCTTTCTTCTTCCCTTCCCCTCTCTCTACAAATAAGTAAATAAAACGTTTTTTAAAAGAGATGTTGGGACTTACAGCTAAGTGGAGATGTAGGCATATATACTGTGCATCCTCCCACAACCAAAAGAAGGACAACAGCAAATTTAAAAACAAGCAAACAAAATAACCAGAACTGTCAGAAAATCGAACTGTATGGAAGTCCAACAACCAAGTAGTTAGAGAAGAAATATTCATCCGGACCTGTAGGAGGGACAAAGACAGGAAGCCAGGTGGAGAGGAA